ACTCCGTAGGACGCACTGCCTCGCAGATGGCTGCGTTTGTTGGTAACCACCACACTGTCGCGACCATCAACAACTACGTGCCTCGCAACGAAGTAGCATACTTTACTGCTTTACAAGGACAACAAACAGAACCTTATTTACCTGCCACCTTAGTTGACCCCCTTCATAAGTTTGTGCTTGGTGTGAACATTCACCCAGTGCGACTGGCACTTAATCTACAACACATACCAATGTTACTAGACAATGCGGAAAAAGTTATTAAGACACTGGAGCTGTTGTGCAAGAAGGAGATGACAAGAGGAGGTGATACTAATGAAGTAATGGCTTTTAAATATCATTACTTGGCCTATATACTTAGAGAAATTAATAATATTAGGGATAAGAAGTCAAATGCTGACAAGGAGGAGAAGAAACATGATGTGGTCGAGTTGTTCTCTAAGAAACTGTTGAAACCCGGCAAGGATGGTGTATCACTGGACTTAATGGATACATTCCTAAAAGATTGTGTGAGAGAGTTTCCTTTTAGAGAATGCACAACATTCCACCAGATGGTTAGTTCCCTGACTAGTAAAGACCCTCCACCAGCTCTGTCTGTGATCAACTGCACTATCAATGGTCAGAGAGGGTTTGTGGATGCCATCCCATACTGTAGCACTTGTGGGGAGGAGAAGCCAGCCAAGAAGTGTTCTAAGTGTAAGTCTGTGCAGTACTGTGACAGGGAGTGCCAGCGCTTGCACTGGTTTGTGCACAAGAAGGCTTGCAACAGAGAGTCCAGTGCACCCGCACCCACCACCAATGCTAAAGTCAACATTGATGCTAATGAATTGAGTTCCGAGCTTCAAAACTTAGTAGCAGGATAGAAGTAACGCTCAACAGGGTGATCGGTGTCTAAAAAATAAGGATAACATAATTCCACTTTTACTGTCTGGATGTATTTTCTTGTAATGTAGGTTTTATAGTTTATCTGAGACACAAAATATAAATAATGTTCTTCTAATTACAACAGAAGTGCAATATTTTTATATCAATCACAAATTAATGTTATTACTTTTGCTATGGCAAACAATTCTAAAATGCTGTTATTGGTTAAAACTTTGCTAGTTGCATTTGTTGTACATAATGTGTTGTAACTTCTTCAGTGTGTATGTAATCTGTAAATTCAAATATATCAAAATTATAAATTTTAGCTCTTTTACTTTACCCACAAAACTATTTTTGCTGTGATGGGACAACATTCCACCTTAGTGGAGTAGGTAAGTACACCTCTGATATCATCGTCAATATCACGACAATAACATGAAAATCAATATTTTGAAGGATATTATCAGGTTTTGAAAAAATTGCCAGCTGTTTCAAGTTGAGTTCTAACACGCACGCTGCACACAACTAAGAACCTAAATAGTTCTGCGGGTAGCCAATAGATGGCGCTACTGTGTGTACTGGCTTACAATTTTTCTGATTGTAGTGGGTTCATAGACGAGATCTCAAAGGGATTTCATAGTAACTCGACCGCATTAGCATATGGGGTATATCTGATACCCTGATAGACTTACTGAAGTATTAACTTCAGGAATATAAACCAAAGTATATCTCACAGAAAACCGGCGTCAAACAACCACAGCGTTGTGGTTCGCCGTGTGAGTGAGGTGACCGAAGGCCCAATCCTTCCCCTCCCCAATCCCTAAATCTCCCAAATCCCTAATCCCTAAAAGTTCGGCAACGCACTCGTAACTCCCCTGTTGTTGCGGGTGTACATGGGCGGCGCTGATTGCTTACCATCAGGTAATCCGAATGCTCGATTGCCGACGTATCTCATAAAAAAAATATATAAAGAAACTAATCTAATATTTGTTTATTATATTTATTTGAGTCCATAAATATATTTTGCGTACCCTGTATTGAAATAGGTATCTACAGGAAATCTTAAACAATGACTAAGTAGTTTTATAAGTTAGCATAATAGGCATTATGGTTTTTGAACAATTAAGATCAGATACATTGCAAACGGAAAAAAATTGGCAGATGCCAAGGTACTTACTACCGGAATTTACATAAAATAAACAACAGTACCAACCTACGATTTACAATTTTGGAGAACAAACGCCGTTTCGTTCGTTTCGTTTCGTTTCGTTTTTCTGATAAAATGTTGACTTATCTAAAGTTACGCAAGTCGCGGAAACTTTTTTATCTGGGTATTTTATATTGCGATTTCTAACAGTCCTAGCGAGTACGAAGATTTTGGCAAACCACCTTATTGCGCTTGCCCGGCAACCCTGGGAGGGTCAACTCTTATTGACTAAAAACCACCCAGTTCCTTATCCAGCAGTAAACCGGCGTCATTGCGCTAGCGCCCCTGGTAACGAAAACCTTATGCACTCAGATCTCCTAGTGCTTTTTTTGTGAAGGAAAAATCATCGAATGACTTTTCCCGCCCCGGGTAGGGCGCGAGGGAGTGTCAGACTCTTACTGACTAAACCCCCCGTTCCTACTCCTGCTCTGGGCCGAGGTCGCGGTGCCTCATTGCGCATACCCCGCAACCCCGGCTGAGATCTCCTAGTGCTATAGAGATAATCGGCGCCGCCCAAGAACACCCGCAATACACATGAGTTACAAGTGCGTTGCCGGACTTTTGGAAATTACGCATTGGAAATTTTATAAGTATTTCGAAATTGGAGATAACGGCGCCCAAATTCGCCCAAGCGAGCGCCGGGCAGTTTGAAACATAGGAAATACCGATGTGATTTTTTATGACTTAGATTATATATATATTTTTTTTTTTGTAAGCTTTCTGTGGTATTTGGTGACTGGGCTTTTCCCAGTTGTACAATCTACTTTTTTGTTTTTAAGATTTACCGTCTCCATTAGCCATTCTGTCTTCTGTATTTAATTCACCTACGACGGAAGAAGCTATTACCTATCTATCTACTGTAGATCCTGGTTTATAGAAGTTGCAGCGCTTTGAGGAGGCTGTGGCTGGCTTTTCCCGTTAAAAAATACGGTAAAGGAATCTGATAGTAGGTACCTGTAGTTTATAATTATAAGTTTGACTTGCAGCAATGCGTACTTATAAGTACCGAAGCCAGGATAAGTAGATACGGAAAGGCCATCAGTAAAAGTTCAATTACACAGCAAAATACATCGCGTTGTTTCACCCTGGTTTTCACGCCAGTTACATAAGTATCTACGTAGGTACATTTATAACACAAGTTTTTTATGTGATAGGTGATAGGTTGGCAAACGAGCAGACGGATTACCATTAGCAACAACAGAAGAGTTACGAGTGCGGTGCCTTTTGGGGATTAGGGATTTGGAGATTTAGGGATTGGGGAGGCATTGGGGGAGGGGAAGAATTGGGCCTCCGAAAACCTCACTTACACGGCGAAACATAACACACTGTGGTTTTTTCACGCCAGTTTTTTGTGAATATAAAATAATTGCTTTAGAACCCTAGTATACGATGTATTTAGGTACCATTTACCAGTACCTATTAGCTAAATTTATCTTACTTACATATACATAAAATTCATTTAATAAGTAATTAACCAACCCAAGGAACCAGAGCAATTCTGTAATACTGACATTAATTGTAATAAATAGTAAAATAAGTAAATGTTTTTAAAAGAGGAGAAAATAATTCTGCAAATGAGTTCTTTCCTCCACGTTGAGGCGACTGACCCCCGTTCCTGCTCCCGCGCGGTACCTTATTACGCTAGCTAGCCCCGGAACCCCGGCTGAAGTATACTTACTGCCATGTAAATTACCATTTCCAGTTCTTTTCAGTGATTACATATTCTGCCTAACAAAGGCAGGATATGTACTTTTTATGTATTAGACCGTCAAACGAGCAGAATGATTACCTGATGGTAAGCAATCAGCGCCGCCCATGGACACTCGTCACAGAGGAGTTACGAGTGCCTTGCCAACCTTTTAGGGATTTGAGAATTTGGAGATTTAGGGATTGGGGAGTGATTCAGGCAGGGGAAGGATTGGGCATCCGGTAACCTCACTCACACGGCGAAACACAACGCTGTGGTTGTTTCACGCCGGTTTTCTGTGAGGCCGTATCAATATCTATATCGGGCGAGCCGACCCATTCGTACCGAAGCATGGCTATCCCAAACTTAGGAGCTAAACGGGTTTATATTGATGGAAAATAAAAATACAAACTAAATCATATAAAAATATATATTGTAATACGTAATACTTGACTGTTAAAATATTTACAACAATATGTATTTACAATAATTACATAAGTGACAGATAAGTATAGAACAAGTTAAGGTTGCGAAATTTCGCCTATTGATGTAAGTACAAGGAAAATCCAAAGTGAAGGAAAGCCTTCACGACATTTTAAGAGAAATACTACAGAGGAAAGAAGTCCCATAATAGGCATTAATAAGTAAATAAAAGAGTTTACAAATATATTTAAGTAGGTTTACATAGACTCAAGCTTTATATTAGTATAAAGGAATAGATAAAGGTGCGGACAACATCCATAGGTGGCGCCCATGTACGCGCCCTGCATATTGTGTACCTACATAATTATGTAGAAACTACCTCCACTGAAGTGGCTAGGTCCAACCATTGACTAAATTAAGATATTGACCACATAATTAAATTATTTGTAAATTTTAGCATTTTTACAAACTTAAGGCACTGCTATCACAATACAATAATTATTAATTATCTACTTACTTATAATAACGAGGTAGGCATATAAATTTTATTCATTAAACATAAAAATAAAACTATGTTGCTATAAAAATATTTACATTAATTTATTACAATATGGTAAGTAGGTATTGCGAATATCCCTGTCGCGTAAACATTTTATTTCAACTTTAAATTAAGTACCTTATGGTCTATGGTTGCATGGCGCAATGTTACATAAGTACAAGTACCTACAAGAGCAACCGTTCGCGAAGGAACAAACAAAATATTTGTCAACACTTAAAGTTCTTAGTCATTTATTGTCCAGTAGAAATATGTAAACATAAATATCAGCCTTCACCGAGTAGAGCGCTGATCGTGAAGCTCTTTACCCGTCGGCAGGGCGCCGGCGCGGCAGGGGGCGAAGGCGCCGGCGGTAGGGGCGGCGGTAGCGCGGGGCCCCACGAGAATCCGCTAGCCATGGGACTGCTGGGCCAAAGGCCTAGGGGCATCGGCATATGTAGTGGTCCCAGGTACGGTAACTCTGGAGGGTAGAACGCGGCTGGTGGGGGAGTTATGTTCTCTGGAGGTGTGACGAGTGGCGCAGGGGATTCCACTAAAGGCGGCGACCTCGGCGATGAGGAGCGTAGGCTGCCCTCCTCGGAACAAGAGGACGCGGCATCGGAACAAGGTCTCTTGGCGTCAGTGGGTTCCGCGCTAGGCTCTGGATTGCCTTCGCTACCAGAGTCTGGATTCTTTCGCTTGCACTTAGACTGGCCACACGCTCTGAAGCCTTTAGCGAACGGGTTGTTGTCGATTTTCAATTTTGTTATGCGGTCATTCTGTGGACAATCAAACATAATATGTTATTAAACTATTACAAATAGTCACAGTTGGTCACCTGCTTCATTCATTACGAAATAGAAAAGTAAAAGTATATTTTTTGATCAGACTCGTTGAAACGGGGAGGAGCCGTAGTTATCTGTCCGTATCAAAATTTTATGGTTGACATGTCACACGGAAATCTCCTTATCTCATTTAGAGAATGCCATTTAAACATCCGTTTCCGCATACATCCCGGCGGCGCTAATAGCTCGTAAGGGATAATTGTTGCACATGTGGCAAGGACCTGGCGACAAGCCAATTAGCATGGCATGTTCGCGTGTCGCCGCGACGTCGCCCGCCCGTCGCGCGGCTGTTACGCGCGAACTACTCTAGTAGGCGCCTGCGCATGTTACCCTAGCAGCAAGCACACTGAACACTACCGTAACATGATATTTGATAAAAGATCCGACGTGCTCTACATAAGCGATGATGACATTCTGAACATTTTAATATTGAACTTTCGTCACGTTTCCTAATTGAATAGGACCTTCGAAATTCTACAAGTTTTTTTCACGTCGCGCCCGAAAATGTGTTTGCAATCGAAAGTCGAAATTATCTGGCGAAATCCTGAACGCAAATAGTGAGTTGGAGATACGCAGAGTCACTTGTAACGATTGTTTACTCGGCGTGATAAGGCGGCGCCGGCGGGAGCCGTGCTAGCTGCACCGCTAGATAACCGCCACCCCTCCGAAACATCGAAGAGTGCTAAAAGCCTGTTATTAGCAGAGCAAAGTGCACTTTTTAAGTCGGTCGGTTAGCAAGACGTGATGCTTGAGTGTAGCCAGGCGCCGCCCCCGGTCCGCCCTGTCGCCCGTGACGTCACCACACAAACTTGCCGTCGCTTTTACTTTTTGCGTGACTATTTCACATATTGGCGACTGTCGCCAGTTTTTTAGATCTGTGTAATTAGGGTCTGAGTAAATTTGGTTTATTTATCTAGCAGATAGACCCATAATTTATCGGGTGGACCTGCAAACATGCGATGACAGCCCGAAGCGATGATGGTGCGGCATTGAGTCGGCCGACCGGCCGAGCATAACGGCATTGTGTAGTTGTAATTGAACTGGTGTGCCACCTAGTTACGCTCTTGAATAAAGGGGCGGCAAATGTAAAAACGATTTCTAATTCGCTGATAATTCGCAACAATGGTCTAGCCGTCGAGCGGTCGCCTGTCGGAGGATAATGTGCAATGATACACCGCCGGCTATTGTCAGAGAGCGGGTCCCGTTAGCCGGACAATTGTCGGATAATCCTACAAAGCTTCCGATGAAATGGACGCGAGAAAACTTTCGCGCCTCGTTACAGTCAACATGAAGGACGCCGCCGGGCAAAGAAAGCCGCTGGTTAATTACGACTGGGTATTATGCAAGGGATTATGGCCACGCTGCAATGAACGCGAAAGCCAGTAGTTAGTTTGGGATAACAAACAGCGGGGGGCTGTGTCTCGGTACTTTATAAGAGCCCTGGGCCAGGTTTAATAAATGGAATTAACGTGTAGGTACCGCAACTTTATTGCCGAGGCAGATGGGCCGGGAGGCGCTTGCAAATACAGACCTGTGTTAGTCACGCAATGCGCAGTCAGTCTGGATGCTCAGTGAATGTAATCTAATCCAATCGTGTGACTTGGTGCACAATGCGCCACTTTGTAAATATTGTAGTTCTATTGTTTCCGTAATTGCGGTATGATAACTCGCTGTGCGTTTTACCGCTTCAGTTTATTGTGCAGCTTCTTCAGAACCTAACTGTAGTGTAGTTGATACGCTTCCAAGAGTTACGGAACCGTTTACAATGCTTCACAAATGCCGCTCGAACAAAAACATTAAATTAGTCGGTATTGTTTCGTTAAGAGTCCTTACACAATGGCCGGCCGTTGCAATCTTATTTTTTGTCGCTGTAACTGGCACCAACTTATGTTCGATTTCGTAAAAGCTTCGGCGCCTAGTGTAAGGAGGAAAAAAATGCCGACTGGTGTCCGTATGTGCGAATCGTGGGGTTTCGGAGAACCGTAGTACGTATTCTGGGAATAACAGGGGTGTGATCATATCACGTGAGGAGATTCCCTTAATATCTGGGTGATAGTTTAGGTAGAACTAAACTATCTGTAACTGTGGTAGATCACAGAGTAGTTAGGTATTTTTTTAATCAAAGCAAGACTATGACGAATAGGAATTACCTAAGATAGAAAAGTAGATTTGCCATTGTTGAAAATTGGGCTAATCATGTTATTGTGTTACATACACTTTATTAACTTTCCTACATAAAAATATATATTGAAAACGTTGGTACAAACCTGATAAGCGGTGACAGCAATGAACTCCGTCTCGGGGAAGGAGAAGGACGCGTGGGGCGCTCCCCAGGCGAGCGCTGCAGCATCACGAGCACGCACCACCAGAACTCGGGGTCGGTACTTGTGCATGGAAGTCAGAACCATCTGGAAAGAAGAGAGGATATTAGCTGATGGTCGTAGTCGTGGTTGCAATAGTCTTAAATAGAATCCAAAATTTTCTGCTGATAAATAAAGTCTGGGAATTAGGTCTCAACGTGGAATGAACTTCATGCATGGAAATTAACGGTCAATGGTTGGCTACATTTAATTTCGACACGGTTTAGTTTAATTACACAAAAAAATATTCATTCATGCACTAAACAGAATAAGAGTATGTTACACATGTTAAGTAATATCCGTGTAAGGACTAGGAATTAGACGGAAAAAAATGTGTTCGGTGAACACATAACTTGTCCTAGCCCATCAACAAATTTGTTTTAGAATTATTGGACGTTAGCCTCCTTATAACAAACATCTATGGTCTTTCTTAACGTAACTAATCGCAATTTAAATAACTATCTAATTCTATTTCAACGGCATATTATCACTGCAATTTTTATTACAAACTGATCTTTCATAAGGCGGGTATCATATGCGCAAATACCACATTAAAAAAATGCCTCCCATATAGCAAGGACTTGCTAAAATATTTTAAACTAATCTCAATCCTCGTTGGAAAACATGGGAAGGTCTAACTGTGTCTGGCGACACGATTGTCGCGTCGCGTCGCGTCGTGGGTCGCTCTTGTGTAAAGCGTCTTATCTACCACTTGACGCGAATAACGCTACCTGGGCAATGCGCGGGCGCCGACTGCAACCACTTCAAACGTAGAAGGGTTTGTCTACCATTGTCTAAAGATTTTTTTAAAAATTAATTTGCCTCAAGAGGTTTCTCAAACTAAACTTAGTTTCTGATTCAGTTAAACAGATGCCATTTTGATTATTGTTGCTTTTATCTGTTATTTTTTTTCTTTTTGTTAAATGGTTTTACTGAAAAATGAAAGTTTATTCGGTTTGCTTTTTAGTTGTTGTGTATTGTCTGTATAAATAAGTGTTTTTTAGATTGAATATTGCTATTCTTTCATGATAGAATCGAATTAAATAAGCGAAATAATCTTTATTCGCTTCGTCCTTTAGGTGTATTCTAATAAATATGCAATCTTACTTTTCTTATGGATGATCTTGTGGATAATTATCTAGAAATCTTGCCTGTTCTAATGTAGTAGGTATGTTCTAATAAAACATAATGTAGATACTTCGTGGTTATATAGGTATGTTTTTAAGATAGTCTTATACGAAACATTGGGCATGTTTCATTAAATTAAATAGTAAAGACTTGATGAGAGACCTTATTCGGTATATTCCCACAATGTCACAGGTCCGGACAGACTGACAGACAGACAGACAAAGAGCTCGCCGCGTTCGGAAGCTCGTCGATCATAGTGACGTGTGTTCAATCAAAAAGATACAGCCTTCAGATTGCAGTGAGGGCTTTAGTTGGTAGTTTTTTGCGACCAATCCGAGGGAACGTGATCATTTGAGGTGATAGGTTTTTGATTGAGGCGATAAAGTGTTACGTTAACACTGTTTAAGGATTTAATACGCTAGTAGTAGTACTAATATGCGTCAAACCGCCCCTCTATAAGGTTTGTAATTTAATTATCCATTCAAAGTTTTTGTCTGTGTTGTTTTTACAATAAATACTGTTTTAGTTAAATTCTAAACTGATCCACAGTCCTGGCGATAAGACTTTTTGACTGGTTATTCTTTTGTTACACAAGAAAAACTAGTTATACTACAGTTAATTTACTTAGGTAGGTAAACTTACTGGTTAGAAGTACATTAAGTTAATAGAAAAACTACAGATTTTCTAAATGTTTTGAAAGACTACAAATATGTTTATACTTAAGTGAAGAGTTTAAGTTACATATTTAACTTTTTTTATTATTTTCTCACTCTCTACTGATTCTAAATTATTTAGCTTGGCCTAACCATTACCTATTTTGTCACTATCTTTTCACGAAAATCTGTAAATACTTAGCTGAATTTCACTGTTAGTAATTTTTTTATAATTTAACCGTTCAATACACCATATCCAAATAAATATAATTTTAAGACCACCTTCAAACATCTTGTTTAATAACTAAACATAATCAATGATAAATGATTGCGTTCTAAAAATTTTAAATAAAAAAAAATGGCGAATAAGCCACACGCAGTTGTGTGTAGATAGTATGAGTAATAAACTAGTGATTATATCTATTTATGGGCGGCACTAAGAACTTTATTACACACGAATAAACATTTTTAATAAAGCCCGCGGCCATGAGACGGATAAACATCGTCTATAAATTATTGAATTCAAGTAAGATATCATTTTGGAGAACGGTATATTTTTGGTAAATGAAATAATATGTTTATGGTGAGGTTTCAATTAATCTGAATGATGCTTCAGTCTGCAATACATGCTAGGTTCACCAATGAAGTTAAATACTTAATTAAATTATAAACACTACATTGCGATTGTTGATTTATCCGTTGGCTGCTTCGCACGGTTGTCAAATGACAACTTTAACTTTTTTACTTTTCTCAAATTTTCTTCTTTTAAATTCTTTTTCAGGCCGTAGCTTATACAACAAAAAAGAATTGGCAAAATTGGTCCATATAATTTCATGTAATTCATATAATTTTATGTTATTGAGATTTAAAAATCTTTTCCTGGCCATAGCAAATACAACAAAAAAGAATTGTCAAATTTGGCCCCGGCGTTGTTGAGTTATGCGATTCATATTTATGTTATTAAGATTGTAATGTAGATCATGCTGAATATCGTGTTGCTTAAATTTCAAATGAATAGGTACTGAATTTGCTGTTTAACCGAGATAGTTACTGCTTGAGGCTTTACTGTTGTAGGTACAATTAAACAGAAAAAAAAACATAAAAGTGCAAACAATTCGGTTGCTGCAGTCCTTCTTGTGTGGCACTTCTCATCCATCCAAAGGAACCGGTGATAAAACAGAAACCACAGTTTCCACAATCTTTTATCTAAAATCTAACAAAACACGTGTATATCAGTAATTAGTGGCAGAATGCGACATAGCCCGCGACACTTTGGAGATAAGGGTTGGTTCCACCCGGCATCAAACCCCCGCCTTCCGCATCGCTAACCCGATCCCTTGTACTGATAAACTTAATGCGCCACATTTTGACGTTTAGCATTTTTTTTCAGTTACATAAAAGAAATATCGTTGATACAATGCCACCATGTATTTTGATTAAAAAAATAAAGTTGGGTAGTGATTTTAGTTAAATATTGAACTGAAATTAACCAATACATCGAATCGTTTCTAAATTAATAATGTCCTCACAAATCGGACGGATTTGTATTTTTATACTGAACAACGGATAATTAGGAAATAGGAATAAAAACTTTAAATAATCTATCAATAAAAATTCTATCATTCGATCAGATTGTGAAGAAGGCCGGTGCTGTATCAAAGAGTTTTAAAATTTAACGTAAAGAACTATAAAAACATCTTTCAAGTTAATTATCTTATTACCTACCTCCAATTTCACCACGGCCGCACGGGTTTGTGTGATTCCTAGAACTTTTACTAATTACGTGGGAATAATGTCTGCCTAATCCGTAACCTCTAAGAATGTCCGTAATGAGAACGCATAGAAATTGGCTACATCTAATCCTTTCACATTGACTTTTTTAAAGAGACTCTTTCACACGGCGACTCTGAAGTTTTCGCTAAAAAATAAATAACAAAGGGTGCGGACACAATACATAATGGAGGCTCCTTTTATCACAGGTGGTAATTCCTCAAGTGCACAGTACACGAGGATATTTTCCACGCGAATTGATTCGCTTCTGGTCTCAGTAGCTACAGCATTGTTAGGCTGGGTGCACAAAGACGCCGCTCCTCTCTCCCGCGATCCCAATACTGGTGCATCATACGCGCGCACTCATGCGCACCCACCTACAGTTTTTGCCGTCCCTACCCGTCATAATAATGTGTGTTATGATGCTTTGTGACTGATAACCATGAACGATGTTTGTTTTGATACACAACCAGCCTTTATGTAGGTAGGTCACGTTAATACTTGGATGATAGCTTTTGAATCCAATCTTCCTATTGAGTAAATTATTTTTGACAGCAGATTCAGTTTGGATTTTTTGGAATTTTAGAATAAAGCTTAGGATAAAGTTTATAGCTTTAATGTTTGAAGAGTTGGACGTGAAATAAGCATCTAGAGCCTGCAGTCGTAAAATGTCGAGGCAGTTTCTCCAAACAGTGAGTGCAAACATTGTATAAATGATAAAACCTAGGACGAAGCGTCACAGTCGTCATTAATCGAGGCGTCAACCACTCTGTCCAAACACACCGCCCGGATAAAGGGATACAGTTAGTTGCCGCTACAAAGCTTTCATACAATGCCTTTCAGCGTATTTGTTCAAGTGACGAAATGCTTATAGACGTCTTTGTACGCAGACTCCCGCGGCGCGTATGAACTCCCGCTCACAAACTCCACACTCACCTTTAAACCAACGCCTTAAGATTTAAATTAGAATGAGAAATCGCAAAGAGCTATATTTTTTACGTCATCGCAAAACGGGTTGTTTGCATTCGAATCTTATATCTACAAACATAAGGCTCAATTCAGTTTTTATTTAACTTTTTATGGGAAGTGGTTGGCGTGGTTGCGCGAGAGGCGTTTCCTTTCAAAAAGGCGATATATGAGGCAGAGTCACGAGCGCGGGAATGCTCGACGAAGGCTGTACTTAACTGTATTCAATATTGAAACTTTTTGTTACAATAGACAGAATGTTTGCTGTTTGCGCCATACTTTTATTAGTTTGAACAACTTTTTGTTTATTGGCTTTCAATTAATGCTTACAATTGCTTTGTGAAATTGATTTTGTGTGAGGTCGCCGGTCGCGGCGATTATTGTTGTCTGATTAGTATTACGTGGACTTAGACACTGAATAAGTTATTTTCAGATCACAAGCGTAGTTATTGTGTACAAAACTAATCGATTTATTCCTTTGTTTAGTCTACAAAAGAAAGTGACTAACGCAGTTACTGACGAAATATTTCAAAACAGTAGTATCTTTGGTAATTAGGCCACATTCCCGAATGCCGATGTTGCAAATCATCACCCTTATCTTAAAGGTGACTGGTGAGTTGTGACGTCACTTCACTGATAACATTATCGTGGTGCCAACTGCCCGACTACTGACAAATTGCGCCCCCTATCTCTACCTACCACCTTTTATCATTTAAAAGCACGTAGGTAAGAATGTGCCATTCTTGTCAACGAAACTGCATGGTCATAACTTTGACGATAATAGACTAAAAAATTACACATTACTGGCACAAAACAATGTAAGAGTGAATCATTGGAGTTTTGATAATAGGAATAAGAAGGTTTTAAGTTAAGATTATTAATTGTCTCTTATTCAAATCCTGAAGCTAAAGAAACGAAAAAGAAACACGTAACCACATTATTTTTTATCGTAGGTATTGAGATGTCTTTATGATTCTTAGTTTAGAGAAATTTATTTGCTAATTACTAACATAAAAGTTAAGTAATTCTAGATGGTATAAAATTCACTCCATTAATTCTCACAATCACGAAAACAGTAATATTTAACCTTAAACAATAATAATCAGTGCGTAATCGGCAATCCGTATGAATTGCTACATAAGTAATAACTCCAATATGTCTGTTTGTGTGTGTGAATGTTACCGCAATCCAGTAAAACTAGTGAACCAATTTGAATTATAACGTTCACGAACACTGCAATGTTGCCACATTATTAACCGTGTCTTTGACAGATTACAACGTAACTTCTCCGAAGTACTGTTGTAAGGCAATTACGTAGGAAAGTCATGTTCCTTCTACAATACAATGGATAATTGATAACTACACTTATTGATTTCCCACGATTACTAAGCTATCATAACGAATAAACAGTTTTTTGTAGCTGGCAATAAAATTTATTGTTGTCAATCACGATCTGAGAAATTGTAAGCGCTATTTTACTTGTGTCGCCTTTTATTATATTGTAGTAGTAGTATTATATTAATTAATAGATACGTACAAATTGAAACAGTGTTTTAATAGTAGGATAGTAAGTACTGGTTTATTTAATAGGCATGTGTATTTTATATGACTTCGTCAGCGCGTAGTCTGTGTTTATCAGACCGTGTTTTACTTTATACATTTAATATTGCGTTGCCTACTTCTTATCCTAAGTTTTAAATACCAAGTCATATAAAACTAACAAAATTGGAAAAGCGAGATATCCTACTAGAAAAACGTGATTGTTTGAACGTATGGATCTAGTCTTGGATAAAAATTGGTAAAGAGACGGCTGGCAGAGACTGGCACAAGAGCATCGTGAATTTTTCAATCACATTGGTGTTTTACATAAACTCTACAGAAATGTGTCACAACATTTGTCCAAAACGACCGGCGTCACAAATAACATAATGAAAAAGCATTAATGCAAAAATATTTAAAAATTCAAAGCTACTTACATGTCCTTGTGCATCCATTGTATTATTAGTAAGTTTTAATTTGCTGAAGGAAACTGGGTTAGCAGTCCAGTGGTGGCCAGGTGCTGGGGAGTCAGGGTGTAGCATGAGCCGCCTCGGAGACTGAGGTTCGGCACCACCAGCAGCTGCCCAAGCTCCGCCAGCCCAGCGCCAGCGCCGTCGGCCAACGAGGGACAGCTCCAGTAGAACGCAGTACTCCTCACGAGGGTCCAGCCCACCCAGCGAGATGCGGAGCGATGGGAACATGCGTCTGAAATAAGAAGATAAGCTTAGAATGTGTATGAATGATACAGTATTAAAAAAACCGTATACGGCAGTTTACTTCTGGTTTTTGGCAGTAGGTAGATATCTGTTATCAGGTTTACCTACCTCCTGTATGTATGTATGTTTGTTATTATTTCGCGCAAAAACAGCTGAACTGATTTGGTTGAAATTTGGCAAGTATGTAGATAGGTGATACCAGGGATTGACACATATGCTTCTTTTAATCAACATATTACGCGGGAGAAGCCTTGGGCGGAAGCTACTATTTCTACAGAAATGTTACAAATAGCACCAATTACAAATATTTACTAACCAGTATCATTTAAAACCAGGAAACATGTAACTTGTAATACGCCGCAGATTAAGCAGTTAAACAATTATTTTGTAATGTAGCTAACTAACTAAACTGTTTGATTTGTGTGTCAGAATGTTGATCACATCGATATGTCATGCTCTACATGAAGCTAAGTGCTAGCAATCGGCACGAATGACTAATGTCCGTAATCAACACTTTCGCAAGAAGCAATTAATGTCTTTGAACTGACAAATCGATTGGAATATTTCTAGTTTCTACCATAGAACTATATACCCATATCGGCTGCATACAATTTCAAAGATGGTATCACTGGTAAATTGCACACTCTTACAGCGTAAGTTAAAAAACTGACACGACTTTCTTTTACGTCGTATAACTTAAACGTTATACGACCCATTTTCATATCCATTCTTCTCAAATATTAATAAAAAATATTGGTTCAGTTTATAAGTAAACATTTTTGTTATTATTATTCTAAGGTAGTAAATTAGATTTACACTTTCAAACGTTTAATGGATTGCCCATTAGGACCAGAACACAATGAGTGACAATCTTCCAGTAGCACTCATGCGCATTCCTTCCCAATGTTATCACAGGTTTATAAAACTGTGATAGGGTTAAATGTGTTACCAACGAGGCCTTTTGGCACCCGTTTGTTTCGACCATAAAGAGTGACATAAAGGTTGATATGTGTGGCGCCGTCTTTATCGGCGATCGCCGTGGTCGGTCCTTCGATCCAAGTTCCCCGATGTAATTATACGAAACTATTTATGCCTACCGCGGCGGTCGCGGCTCGCCTAATCTGTGGACAGATGTGTTCCGAATAATGGTTTGTTAATTTAGATGGAAGTGTAAATTTGGTTTGAATAGATTTTTCACATGAATAGAATGTATCGTTTATTGGTTACTGAATAAGTGTTGGTAATGAGTAAGTTTGATAGCCGTATGTATGAACCTGTTGTGTGGATTTTTTTATCATGTGTCGATAAGCTACAGTTGAATACCGTTTTGAAACCTAAAACCTTTTAAACTTCAGTTCGCCTCGGTTAAGTACTCGTGTTATAAAAATTGGTGTTTAATGTGATTGCAAAACTCACTTTATCTTCACTTCTGAAGTAGTTCTTCTGTCCTAGTTTCACAAATTGAGTAGATACAGATATATAAGCATCAGCATATTGAACACGGTAGATATCGGTATTATGTAAATATCACGACAGCAAGAATTGGGTAGTTACCTAGGTCAAAAATAAATTATTTCGACGTTTTAATACAATAAAATAAGTATTGAAAAATAACTAACTATACTTTTATTCATCGATCGATCGATATACAAATTTATTGATTTTTTTTAGCTAATTATCAAGAAATAAGTAAGCTACGTCATAGCTCATTTTTTCATACAAATTTCATAGAAAAGTATCGTTTTTAGCATTTGGATAAAAGTATTGAATTTGACTAGTTGGAAACTACCGTATTACATCATCATAATCAAGCTTGGTACACTGAAAACATTATTTAAGTTAAAGTATTAATAGTATTATGGTGACGTTAGATACCTTTACTAAACAATACAGGGGCAACAAGAAACCTGTCCGATTCGCGTATCACGTAGGCACGCCATCAGTCATAACAGCTGTTATCAGAGCGGTCGGCGACAGGGGCGCAGCGCCGGCCACTAATGCAGGGCCGAGATAACGTGCCGACAGAAGCTCAATTAACAACAAACTAAATTAGCCTCCATTTAAACTTTACGATCGCCGCTACCGCCTTACGTGAGCTGTACAGACAGGATAACAAGTACTTGTGACTGGCATACGATTTTAAAAACTAATATTCTATGGGAACCGGCCGTATCGATCAATAGGTAATAGTAATTAGTAACTTTATTAGGTAATAATTATAGTAATTTTAAAATTTCAAGACGAGGTTGTATGGGATGAGGATATATCACGGCTTAGAAATTCGAAATTTAAACTATATTAGAATTCAACCTTCTAGTAGCCATATTAGAAACACAAAAGAGTCTATTATATTGCCATAAAAATATTCTTTATAATCCATCCCTATTGCGCAAATATTTCGTCTCAACGTCAAGTTAATGATTAAAAATGTAACCTAAACGTTGTTTAATGTTCTGTTTCCGCCTAACAAACATAATGTAGACATACATATTCCAAGTTTGAAATATAAACATGTATCATTATAAACTTATAATAAGTTTGGAACAACGTAAATTTTACATATAATGTGCATCGGATATTGTAAGTGGTTCGTCCACCGACGCATCTACCCACACAAAGTCTCAACGTCATCTACTCACGAAGTATCTGTAAATCATTCGGTTCTGATGTACTTTATCACTAGGGTGATACGAATTATAACCTCGATTATTCTCTCAGCTATCGATAAATATACTTTTTTGTAGAACTAATTAATATTTTTGAACAGTTTACTAGTCTTTTAAAATTGTGTTTGTTAACTCAATCAAGACACAGGAGAAAGAAATAGCGTTTTCTTAAAATAATAAAGTAATAATGAAGTACAAATGGCAGTTATACTAACATAAGCTTATATATTTTTCCAAAACTGTTTGCTACAGCAGGTAACGATTTGAGCCACTCGTCCCGTGTTTGTTTATGTCCGCATGTCGCCAAACATGCTCGACAGAAGACAGTCAAACACAAATATGTGTTCACAATATTGTTGGGTATCGAGTGCGCGTGTTGACCGTACGTTGACAAATCCCTTCACTCGGCTACCGTTCGTAAGATGGCTCTTATCGGCCGCCGTCCACTTATCGAGCCGTTTGAAAGCTCCGCGCGCCGACAAAGAGGTGACGATCCACGCGCAAAATATCATGAAAAATTTGCCGCCTAAACGCACTATCTACATCGTAATTTCCATGAGCAGCCCGTACTTAGCCTACTGCATGTAATGCGCCACCAACCATTTAACATTTTGACGAATGATATCAAGATCCAAGTGTCAAACATTTTATTTAAAACGCTTTATGTTATGGAATTTTGTTTACGATACAGTTTAAACGAGAATGCAAATGAAAATAAAGATTGTATAAAAAAGGCCGCCATAAAAGGCCTCTCGAGAGCGCTAAGCTGCGGCGTGGTGGGAAGGGACTTAGGGAACACAATGGGACCACCAGAATCGTGATGAATAAACTTTAGAGTGGGTCGTAAATCGGTTACAACTTGCCAATTGCCGCACGGAGGCGCTAACAGCGGCCAAAGAAACTGACATATCCGCTCTAGCATCCGCACTCGAAATGTTGCTTACGGTCGCCGCGCGATGCGATGCGGATACTTTAGCACGGCCGCCGACCGCTCTCACGCAACCCTGACCAGCACCACTCAGGCACCGACCTAACATTTAATGACTGCCCCTGCAGTCGCCCAGACAAGTATAGTAGCTCGCACGCGGGAGCCGACAGACATCGTCTGTAAACTTTAATGTCCTGATGACTGTTTAACGTCGTCCTCACTAACCTACCCCTCTCGCCTGCTAGTTATCTTTACTGCTAATTTCATTAGCTTTTTATCGCTCAAGTTCAATATTGAGGACCGGGAGACAGTCATTAACGCACAGACGAGGCGTTGTTCGAGACATCTGCACTTCAGTTCGTGGTAACTCGAAGGAAAACAGTGTTCGAGTGTGTACAATACAAGTGTTGTGTATCCCCGAGGTTCGAGCGTCTAACCCGCGCTTATTAACGCTCATACGAGAAGTCCGGCCGGTTTTTTCGTCTGCCCAGATGTGGGCCTGGGTAAACACCTCCGCTATTGTCTGGCCACATAAAAAATCATACACCTGGAAGTGTCAAATTGTTCACTCCGACTGTGAGAGCGGCCCGTGTGAATCCCGCGCTCGGACTCCTCGCCACATACATATGTACACAAACATTTGTATTTTATGTTCTATATCCTGCTCCTAAATCATCAACACACGATTATCTACAATCTGCAGCTAAATTATAGTTAAACGGTCAACTGCTTAGTGCACAAGGTTGTTTTTTACAACATAATCTTCTAAGAATTAATAAAACGATAAAAGACTCGCATGCATACTTTTTATAATTATGTGCGTAATATTTCTGAAACCTATAAATGTAATTCTCGTTCTGTAACTACATAATTATATGTAAATTATCTTAATGGTTTAGCATCACGATATGCGGTTGACGTGCGTACAGATAATGTACTACGCCCGCTAAAACCTTTCCTGCGTGATTATAAGCGCGTAAACGGCACCAGCTTAATACGTAATCGACCGTCTGACTGCGGCTGGTAATGAGCGGCGTGTGTGTTCTCGCAGGCGACTGCGACTCGTGCGCAACCACCAGTTGATGGCCACGCGCATACGCTCATTGTTCTAACTCCCAGTGGGCAGTAGAGTCGGAACGCAGCTACGTGAATCAGCGAGAACTCAGTACTTGAGTACGACTACACATTAAGGGCGGTCAGGATGTAGCCGACCGTTCTTATAATATATTCAGACCGGAAAGTATTCTGCCGAACGTGTTGGCGATAGATTTCGGAACATCGTGTTAAGTGCTCTATAATTTACAAATATTTTCAATGCAATCAGAAAAAAATCATTCCCGATCCACTCCCATATGGTACGGGGTCGCCTCCGCAAAGCAAACAGACTACACTTAT